TAGCTTTTTCCTTGGCAATGACCAACTCTTTTCGACTTCTTAATGTCACCGCGTGGGCTTGTTGCCTAGGATTCGGCTTCGTTTGAGATGGAAGCTTTTCCGAATCCCTAGCCTCAAGTCTACTTACCGCACTTGAGATTTGGCCCATTTGGGTCTCAAGGTTTTGGATACTAGACTTGGTCTCATGTTGAAATTGGACCATGTTTTGTTGCATGGTTGAGACATTTGAGGTGAGTGCTCGGATCATGTCTTCGGTGGACATATTTGAGCCTTGGCCTTGGGGTTTAGAGTACGGTTGTTTTTGAGGAAATTGATTTTGTGGTGGGTTATTTTGTTGTGGGTTTCCTTGCGGATTCCCATATCTTAAATTGGGGTGATCTCTAAACCCGGGATGATAAGTATTTCCATAAGAATCGTACCTCTTTTGGTTGGGAAACCCCAAGGCATTGACTTGCTCGGAGTTGTCTTCTTGCAGAGTTGGGCATGAGTCGGTTGGATGCCCTTGCTGTGTACAAATGCCGCAGACCTTGACTTCTTGGGTCTTGGAATTTAAGATAAAATCCTTAACCAACGAAGTCAAGCTGGCAACTTGACTTTCCAATGAGGCGTTGGATTCCGCCGCCATCACTCGCTTTTTTGATGACCTCCCGCTATAGTGTCTCGAGTTTTCGGCAAACTCCGAGATGAGGTCTCTTGCTTGGGAAGGTGTTTTGTTGACGATTCCTCCCCCACATGCGGCGTTGATCATACGTCTATCATCATTGCAAAGACCATCATAAAAGTATAGGATGAGGTCTTGCTCCGAATAGCCGTGGTATGGACAGCTTGCACAAAGCTTTTTGAACCGTTCCCAATATTCATAGAACGATTCATCATCATTTTGCTCCACATTGCTGATTTGTTTTTTAAGGGATGAGGAGACGGAGGCGGGATAGTACCTTTCGAGGAAGGCTTTCTTCATGGCCGCCCATGTACCTATACTCCCCGAGGGAAGATAGAATAACCAATCCTTAGCGATGTCTTTGAGGGAGAATGGAAAAGCCCTCAACTTGATTTTGGGGCACATGCTTGTGCACACAACATGGAATTCCGAGAGATGTTTATTTGGATCATCTCCTCTTAAGCCATGGAAGGAAGAAAGAAGATGAATAAGCCCCGACTTTAGCTCAAATGTATTACCCTCATCAAGAGTGGGGAAGGTAATACATAGTGGTTGTGGATTCAAGTTTGGAGCGGTGAGCTCCCTCAATGTTCTTGTTTCTTGAGCCATAGCGATTGGCTCTTCAGATTCGCTAGAGCTAGAGCTAGCGGTGAACGATATCTGACCATATACTTCACAAAGCTCAGAAATAGAAGAATAAGAACTCTTTATATTTTTTCTTTAATTATTTTTTTTTGATTTTTCTTGAAATAAAAAGAGAAATAATTGCCTTTCCCCGGCAACGGCGCCAAATTTGACGTGCACTTTGTCGTGTATGCACTAAAAATAATAATCAATACGACACTAATACGTAGTATAGTGTAGTAAGGTTCGTATCCACAGGGAAAGGAACACTTTTCTTTTTATAGAATTAGAAATAAGTAACAAGGGGGGTTTTTATGATTGGTTTATGAACTTAAATTATATTTAAACACAAAGATGAACGAGTTATGTGGTTTAATTAATGAGAAGAAGACTTGGCTTTGCTTTTATCCACTTAATGAAATGTTCGTCGATCCCGGTTATATCTTTAACTATCTTCCTCTCGAATACTCAATCGAGGAGTATATGCAATTCATCGAGGGTAGTTATTAATAACGAGACGCGTTCATTAATAAAACTTACTACCGAGTTAATATAGAACACGCGCCATATACTCACTCGATAGTAGCAATAAAATAGAGATGAAAACGATTGAGATTGATAACCTCAACACAAGCGGTTTATCGGTTTAATCAATATAATTAATTCCCCTTAGATTATTAACCATGAGACGCATGCATTAACAACCCAAGTTTACTACCGTGAAAGAATCGAATTAATAACAAGCGTATTAACCGACCGATTCTAGTATTAATTAATATATGAAACAAAACTAGTTGATCCTTTAAGTAATGCTCAAAATATTAATATGTAATAAGAATAGGAATTAATTAATATTCAAGGAAGAAGATTGAAGAAAATAACTCACAACTTACCATTCATTAAGCTTCAAAGTAGCAAAACCAAGATGGAAGAGTTTAGCTCCTCATTTGGAGACTAAACATGAAGAAAATATAAAGAAATGACTTGTCTAAACTGAGCTTAGAAGTATATATGAATTGGTGGTTTATTGTGGAGGAAATGGGGTGTATTTATAGTCTTTTTAGGCTTGCAGGGTCGTGTACCCGATTGGGCTATAAGGGCACTCGATCGGGTACTCGGTTGCTTCGCAGAATTGTAAAAAACTGGGACATACCCGATCGGGTATGTCGGCCACCCGATCGGGTATAGACACTCGATCGTGGTCAAAATCTCCCCTGCATGTTGCCTTGTTCCCGGGTTGATCCGATTTGATTTTTCAGCGACTTACCCGATCGAGTATAGGGCATACTCGACCGGGTACAATACCAAAAATCAGAATCTTCATTTTTTCTTGGAATTTTTGCACCTTCCCTCCACTTGTGTTGGTCCCTATTTCTACTCTATAATGTATAAGATCTGATTAATAGGAGTAGAAGAACCTTTCCATTGATAGCCAGAAAGTTTACACAAAGATGGTGAAGAATGTTAGCGTAAAACTTCCATAGGCTCTATTCTATGCGCAGGGAATATTTCTGAGGGAGGAAAGCTTAACCTAGCCATTCCTAAGGGGTCTATTTATAGCCTCCTTAGAATGGTAGGGTTTACAATGATATGGGCTCTCCTTTTTAGGAGGCTCATTCCTAATTTAGCTTAGTAGCCTTTTCCATTTAAGGCCTACTAAATACACAATAAATACTACCAAGAGGCTAGATAAAATACATTAATCACAATACTAAAAATATCTCTAACAACTATACAACCCATTTACTCGCTCAGGATAACTCTTTATCCATTACTAATAGTTTAATTTCCTATTTCAGTATTAATAAGGTTCCTCACTTAGTTAGGAAATCCTTAATCACCGACTCCATGGGGTTACCTTATTTCCATAGAAATTATGGATAATTTTGTTGTTTTTCTATTTCAGGTCAGGTCTAGCCCCCCCCCCCCAACCGAAATCTTTTGCTTCTTTTCATGTATTTCGTGAAGGTATGTCTTCACTGAAGAGGTCTTGGTTTGGTCTCCCTCTTCTGATGTATTTTTTTCATCTTTTAATAAAATCTGGTAAATGTTCCCCGACATTTACCACACTTATTTCGGTGGATTGCCTTTCGGGTTAAAAAAAAAAGATCTGTAGCCTTATACGTTTACATACAAAAATTAATTTGCATTGATATAGTTATTGAAATCATACTTGAATAATTGTGCAAAAGAGAGAGAGGGGAATGCGTAAGAATGTGCGAAAATTGTTGTATGGGAACCATAATTAACTCTTTACCCAAATGGTAAAGTGAAAGTTTATTTTGGAACAACAACAACAAAAATTGGAAGTTTATTAAGTGACGGATGGAAAACTTTTTATTAAATCCATAAAGTTTATATAATTATATTTGAAAAGGGATGAGTACATGTCAGAATTTAAAAGTTTCATCATATGCGCATTTGATTAATGTTTTTAAATGTTTTTACATTACATTATAATATACGGCTATTAGCCCTAAATTGGATTAATAGTAACACTACGTGAAATAGGGATATAATCTTTTTATTCTCAAAATTGGAGTAATATATGTGTCCCTTCATCTATTCTATCCTCTTTTTATAAGTTCTAATAGATTTATTATATTAATGAGAGAATCATTGTTTTATTTATAATAAAAATATAAAAAATTAATAAAATATTTATAAATTAATAATAAAAACTATAAAAATAAAATAAAATTATAATAATAATTAAAAAACTTAAAAAAGTCTATAAAAATAAAATAAAATACCTAAAAATATTTGTAAAAAAATATGTAGGCCACTGTCACCGCATACTCCACCTCCTAGCACCACCAGGTTCAATCGTATCGCCGGAAAGAATTTCATCTTGTGTAAAAAATGTCACATTCATATAAAAACACCATGAACGTGACATTTTTATTTTTACAAGTATTCAACTTTCTTTTCAAAATTCCCATCATGATGACATGTTTATTTTTTTTTTTTAATTTTTAATTTATTATTATTATTATTATTATTTTAAAATCCTATTAAAAATGAGTAGGGAAAGGGTAGAATAGGAAGAGTAAGTCCTATTTTAGCATTTTTTTTTTTATTTAGTCCTATTTAGGGAAATCTCCTTGTAATATAGAGATACTTGTTTATCAATGGACCTCACCCATGTTTTACTATATAATATATATATTTTCATTTCGGGGATTTTACCAGAATATTACTAAAATAAAATTTATTTATATAAATATGACTATTCATTACTATAACGTAGCGTTGTGGTAACTTAAGTTCAAAACTTGAACATGAATTACTAAGATTTCATTACTACTCTAGTAACTAGTCATATTTTTGTAAATCATCTTTATTTTGGTCATATTTATGTAAATATTTTCATTTCCTATACTTTGTTTTGCAGAAATGGAACTAAAATTAAACGAACACATGAAAAGATATCTTTGGTTTAAGATTCTAAGAAAATTAAAGGGAAGAATACTCTTCTTCTCTTAACAGAAAAGAATGGAATGCCTTGCAAGTAGAGGTTTTCATTAAATCGTAATAACAAAATTACTTCGTACATAGTTTTTGTTTGACTAATAAGACAATTAGTCAATTTACATCGGATTCTCAATTTACTGACTTTGCAAATTAAATCTCTTCCCATTTCCTTTTGCATCTTATAAATAGCAATATTTGATCGTCAAATAGGACAAAAAAATTATTGTTGTTTCATCAGTTGCTGGAATGGGGAAAACAATACTTATAGATAATGTGCGATATGAACAAATTAGTGTTTCTCCTTGTTTGATAAACAATCCAAACGACATTTCCATCATGCTGCGTAATCTTCATGGTATATGTTTATCGCTAACTCATTCACGTTTATTCCTCCGACATATTTATCATACATGTGTTAGTGTGTTACTATACGTAGGACAGGTATCTAGAAGAAAATGTCATAACCCGCAATATACATATTGTGTTACATATTACTTCCTCCATGCATGGCTCCATGCCAGTAAGATTTTCTCATCTTTCATTTTCGATTTGTCTCATTAATATTGTCTCATATCAAATTTGGGTGATTCTAAAATATTCTCGTTTTATACTCCGTAATTGTGTACAAATCCCATAATAAACCCACATCATCATGTTTCTATGTGTAGGACGGAGGTAGTATATACTTCCATGCTTAATTTTTGTTAGGTCACGTGCTCTTTAAATCTTGAGATGGAAGCATAAATAACAACATATCCACCCTCTCTAGTTATCTCTAAAAAGCTTATCAAATTTGACTTTCTTTATCAAGTAACATAGTTTATATATATATATATATATATATATATATATACACACACACACACACACACAAATGTTCCTGTGAGGTATACCTGACAGGAACCGTCGTCCGGCCTCCTCCTTTTGGGGGCCTTCCCGGTGGTATTTTTTGCTCAATTTTTTTTTGTATGTTCCTCATCAAGTCTAGTTCATCCATACCAAATTTCAGCAAAAATTCAATCGGGAAGGTCATCAAATGATTTTTCCAAGTTAACTGGTCCGGTATATGTATTTTCCGGACCAGTTAACTTGCAAAAATCATTTGACGATCTTCCCGATAGAATTGTTTTCTGAAATTTGGTATGGATAAACTAGACTTGATGAGGAACATACACAAAAAATTTGAGCAAAAAATATCACCGGGAAGGCCCCCAAAAGGAGGAGGCCGGACGGCGGCTCCGGTCAGGTATACCTGACCGGAAGATTACTCATATATATATATATATATATATATATATATATATATATATATATATATATAGGAAAGACTTCTGGTAAGGTATACCTTAGCGGAGCCGCCGTGCGGCCTCCACGTTTTGAGGGCCTTCCCGGTGGATTTTTTCGATGAAATTTTTTGAGCATGTTCTTCATCACGTCTAGTACATCCATACCAAATTTCAGCAAAAAATTCAATCGAGAAGGCAGTCAAACGATTTTTTGAAGATAACTGCATTTTATATGTATATAAAGGGTGTATGCATACCTACACACACCCACACACACCCCCCACACACACCCCACACACACAGAGTAATCTTCCGGTCAGGTATACCGGAAGATGCTTACATGTTCGTCTACTCCCCTCAGTTGTGATTCTTCTTATAGAAATTACTTCAAATAGGACTAAAACTATGGCAAAAACTCAAAATAGGACTTGTTATGTTTTTTTTTCCAAAATAGGACCATAGTGGTCCTATTGGAAACATACTCATTTCTTCCTTCCATTCTTACCCCTCCTTTAAATATTAGTAAAAGATAGCTAAAAGTCATAATTAAATGTTTAATTCATAATAAATTCGAAAAAATTTCAATAATTCGTAGAAAAATAAAAAAAAAATTAATAAATTTTTATAAAATAAAAAATAAGAAAAAATTTTTTTTTTAATTTTTTTTTTATTTTAAAAATTAATAAAAAAATAGTAAAACTCCATAAAAAAATTAAAAAAAATATGGATATGTTTCCCACCGCCTGTACTACCTCCCTGAACCACCACCTCCGATCGGTGTAAAAAATGCCACTTTTTTTTTAAATTCCACAAAAATGGCATATTTCTCTATGAGAATGCCAACATTTTCATTCTGCCAACTTGAATCCTTTTGACTTTTGCCAAAAATATGGCATTCATAATTTTTTTGGCATTTTTTTACCCCGGTGACAGGAGGTGGTGGTACCGCCTCCCTGCACCACCACCTCCGACCGTTAAAAAAAAATGTCATATTTCCTACAAACTTCCATTTTTTTCGGAAAATGCCAAAAATATGGCATATTTCTCTTTGAGAATGCCAACATTTTTTTTCTTCCATCTTAAATCATTCTGAATTATGCCAAAAATATGGAATTCATAATAAATTTGGCATTTTTTCCCCAAATGACTAGAGGTGGTGGTGCTGGGGCGGTATAGGCGGCGGTGACAAAAAAAATATTTTTTTGATTTTTTTTTTAATTTTTTTTAATTTTTTTTTTTTTTTTTATTTTTTTTGAATTTTTTTTTTTAAAATTTATTATTATTCAAAATATTTTTATTAATTTTTTGGTATATTTTACGAATTTTTATTATTTTTTATTATTTTATTATGAATTAAAACATTCCAATAGGTATAAGGGTATATTTGTCCAAGACAAACATAATTAGTCCTATGGAAACATAGTTTATTTTTTGGTCCTATTTGTGCAAAGTGAATGACTTTTAGTCCTATTTTGATAATTAACTCTTCTTCTTATTCATGATTTGTGTTGTAGGGTATATAGCAGATAATATTGCAATTGAATGGACGAATTGTAAAATTTGGGTAGCAGGAATTGATCACGCCAACCTTACATACTTTCGGCACTGTATAGACCCAAAACCAAACGAATATTTTAAACTGGACGTCATTGAAACGAAGTTTGACGATAAACGAGGTAAACTTTTTGTCAAGTTCTCAAAACAAGCGACTTACGGAACTAATCCGATAAAGACCGCATCGGTTCAAGAACTACTAGACCGGCAAAATACATCATCAAGCGGCGGCGAAAAAGATTCCTCACACGCAGTGGCGGAACTAGGGGGGAGCGAGCCGGTGCTGCCGCCCCCCGTTCGCCGGAGGTTTTACTGTATATATATGTATATATACATGCTCAGCCCCGGTTGAATGATAATAAGTACTGTCTGACCCATCTCTAGACAGATAGTAGGAACGGCACGGATGGTTTAAGCGTTCTACATCCCTAGAGGAGACTAGGGTTCGATCCCTGCTCAGCCCCCTTTTATAGCCCCCTTTTTTAATTACTAAGTACTCCATTACACTTCTTCCACCACTTATCTCTTAACCTTTTGGGATGCTATTACTTTTAATATTTTTCCTACCACATTTCTTTTACTTATGTTGCATTTTTATTTTTCCAATTCAAAATATTTACTCCGTATTTTGTATTTTTTATTTTTAATATTTTGTATTTTTTCGAATATTAACATGTTATTTACATTTCTGTTTGGTACAAGAACAACAAAAAATGACTTTTAAGAATTGTTTCACCCTTCAAACATTGACCTATATCATTTTATAAGAAGTTTATCAATAAACTTTTCAAAAACTATTTGAATTTTATATTTATTCCTTGGGTTAGTACAAATATGCATGCCAAAACTTCTTGTTGATATTTGAAATATTTGACTTTATATGAGTATAATTATATTTATGTAATACATTTCCTTAAACAAAACAAATATCCTTTTAAAAAATAAATAACCTACTTGTATCGCTGATTTGAAAAGAGAAAAAGAATTTATTATTTTCTTGATAAGTTAGTAAGTTATATATATACTCTGTATGTTATTAATTTATCTTCCTCTACATGTTTAGCTATATTTCTATTTAAACCTTGTTATTCTAAAATAAAAGGGAAAGCGTACTAAATCGAAATAAACTCATTTAATAAATGAAGTCTATTATTTTGTTTAGGCACTAACAAAATAGTTATAAAAATGAATAAATGTCGATATTTAAGTTGATCTGTTGAGGTGTATATGTATGTGGAGTGCTCTTCTCATCAGGCCGGCCTGATGGGATGCTCCGTCCGGCCGAGCCCGTTTGGGTACCTTCCCGGTGGAATTTTTTGATGAAATTTTTTGAGCATGTTCCTCATCAAGTCTAGTTTGTCCATACCAAATTTCAGCTCAAAATTCGATCGGGAAGGCATTCAAATCATTTTTTGAAGTTGACTGCGTCAAAATATACATATAAAACTGCAGTCAACTTCAAAAAATGATTTGAATGCCTTCCGATCGCATTTTGAGCTAAAATTTGGTATGGACAAACTAGACTTGATGAGGAACATGATAAAAAAATTTCATCAAAAAATTCCACCGGGAAGGTGCCCAAACGGGCTCGGCCGGACGGAGCAGCCTGTCAGGCCGGCCTGACATGAAGTTTCCTCTATGTATGTGTGCTTGTGTGTGAATTATATATATATACAAATAAAGTGTCACTTCATACAAATGGGAATAATATTATATAGTAATTTGAGATCAAATTACTAAAAATATATACCCAAAAACGATACAGATTATGGATCTTCCCAAATAGCGGTTCAAATTTTTTTAGCCCCTGCTCAAATTTTGTTCTGGTTCCGCCACTGCTCACACGGAAAAGACGGTGGAGGCGGCACAACACAAAAGGGTAACGGAAAGGACGACGGCGGCACAACAAAAAAGGGCAACGGAAAGGGCGGCAGCACAACACAAAAGGACAACGAAAAGGGCAATGGAAAGGACGGCGGTAACACAACACAAGAGGGCAACAGGAAGGACAACGACACATCAGAAAAGGGCAAAATTACCCACACATGTGACGACATAAAATCTGCAGAACATAAATCGCAGGAACAAGACAAATTATCATCGTCATGGTGGGTTGTTGAGAAGCTGAAAATGGGATTGAAGATTATTTTAGTCGTTATTGTGAAGCTTAAACAAATTTGGACTGATTGAAATTCAAATTAGTGTGGTACAGTAATGTACGTATACAAATCATTCTAGTATGATTCATATTCTTGCATATGAAACTACAAATTTAAGCCATTTGTTGTAACACAATTAAAGAAATAATAAAGTGTTTATATATGTTTAACTATGTTTTCTATTTGAATTGTGTTAGTCTCAACCAACAAGACTTAAACGGATGAAATCAAACACAGATGTAAAGCTGATTTCATCAAACACAGATGTGTTTGTGAATCTTACCCATGTGTACAAGAATTTCATTAATTTCATTTCATTTGACGGAAACAGAAACCAATAAAAGGAAAGATTTCTTTTGGTTTCGAAAAAGGCCGGACTCGTCTCTTTACAAAAGGGAAAAGAATGCCATGCGATAAAAACACTAAAATAATACCATGCATCAGATTCTGTAGCTAATTAAACCGGGAAGAAAAAACTCTTCCACACCTTATAAATAAGTAAAATAACTGGTGGGAAAAATTGAGACTTTAGTTTTAGCTTCGTGAAGTTAAGATATGAACTTAAGAATTAAGGTAGGAATGTGATAAGTCCGTATTTTGACACGTATTTGATGCGTGTTGAGATCGGCTTTTGATGATTTTCCCAGCTTTAAGGTGTTGCAAGTCTCAATTTTAGCTCAAGTTATGTTTAGCGGGCGTTGGTTCGAGTTTTGTGTTGTTTGTAGTCAAAATCAGGGAATTTGAGCCCGGTACCGGCACTTGAGGAACAATCGGGATGATTTGAGAAGCATGTGAGAATGATTTGATAGCTTTGGAGGTAAAGATTCACGATGAAGATTTGAAGGAAAAAAGAGCTCTAGGATTGGCTATGGGGTCAAAAGAAGATGAATGAAGCTTGAAAATGACGATCAGGATGACCTTCTGTCAATCGTTCAAGCATATCTCTTTGTAGAAACAACCAATGTACACGATTCAAGTTCCATAGGAAAGCCAACTTCAAGGGCTACAAATCATATGAAGACACCTTTGCGATAATCGGAGAGGAAGAAGGTGAAAACAGACGATAAAGTCAGATGATCTCTGCTGCGATTTCAGAAAGACACCTTCCACCGGTTTGATCATATCTCTTGATTGGATGATTCAAATCACATTCGTCAACTTGGGGTGGATAGAGGACTTCATTATCTACAACTTTCATAAAGGAAGCATTGCCAAATTCGGAAGTTAAGTAGGCAAGATCGTGCCCTCAAAGTCAGGCACGATCGTGCATGAAGAGAAAGCACCGCGGAGTTACTGCCTGTCAGGCACGATCGTGCCTGGAGGGAGGCACGATCGTGCCTGCCCCAAATGCGCGTTTTTGCTCCGGAGGCACGATCGAAGGCACGATCGTGCTTGGCATCGTGCCTGCCTCCGAAAATCCCAATTCAGCTCAAATTTCACCCGATTTTTCTATTTAAACAGCCTGTAAACCCCCGTTTTCAAAGGGGGAGCTTAGAGAGAGTGCCTAGCACGAATTTTAGAGGGCTTTTCAGCCTTGTTCATCAATCTTTTGGTATTCTTTGTAAGTTCCATCTTTTTAATTAATGACAATTAATTCTATCCTTCCCAATTTTATTGATTCTTCAATTATGAATTGTGAGTAGATTTAATTAGGGATTTGGGAGTGATGAAGGGGTTGATCATGATGTATGGCTAGATTCTTGATGGTTTAATTGCATGAATGTCGTTTTAATTTGTGTTTGAATAATTTAATTGATATCTTTTGTAACCTAGAACGCGCGCTAGAATTACAATTGCTTGTAGAATAAATTAAGAGAGATCTAGTTTATTCTAGGACACCTTCACACACGCTTAATCGTTTGCTAAGAGATTAGTAGCGATTAAGGGGTCGTAAGCTCGCTCGTCTTGACAATAATTTAGGATCCTGTCGCATGAGAGATCAGCCTGGTCCCCTAAATTATTGTACTCTACGCCGCGAGAGCGGTAAGAACTTAGTAATGATTAGCTAGGCTCAATTGAATTAATTTCATGTAATTAGGCCTGATCTGCCAGAAATCTGGTTACCCCGGAATCAATCCCTGTTCCCTTCGTCATTAATTAGAGAGAACCCATTTATTTTAATCGTTTAGTTGCATTTTATTTTATTTAATAATCTCTATTTAGTTAGGATCCCGAATATTCATTTTCGGACAAATGCCGAATAGTTTTAGAAGTTTGATATTGTAAGATAATCGTAGTAAAAAATTAATCTATGTAAGGAATAAGTAATTAAAGAAGATATGCAAATATTTAGATACATATTCATTTTTTATAAATTTATATTCATTTCTATATATTCATATATAATTATATACATGTGTGTGTGTGTATATTTCCATATTATATATATAGTGTGTCGGGATGTCGGGATTTTCCCGATCCCGACTTTCTTTATTAAAAAAAAAATCCCGGTCCCGTCCCGACTTAGTCGGGATCGGGAAAAATTCCCGACTAGTCGGGTTCGGGATTGTCGGGATCGGGATTGTCGGGATCGGGATTATCGGGATCGGGATTGTCGGGATCGGGATCGGGAGTCGGGAGTCGGGAGTTTTTCCCTAGCCCTACTAGACATAGAAGCTAGAGCAATTTATCGGAATAGATTGAAAAGAATACGTGGGTAGTCAAGGGGGCTTAGGACAGAATAGGAATATAAGATGCGAACAAGAAGAGCCAAACGAAAACACTGCCATTATCGAAAAAGCTAAACAAAAAATGGCTGATTGATTTGATTAAAAACTAAAAAATATCCTTTCAAAAAAAAAAACTAAAAAATAGTTAAATCAGCCAAAAATGGCTGACGGCTGGTAACCAACCCCCGCACCAAATTATACTGCCTCAGTAAATAATTGTTCATTTATTTGATTCTTACTTGTCATTTATAGGAACACGGCCAATAGTACTTTATCAAATATTCCCTCCGTCCCCCTAACTTTGTCCCGTTTTACCTTTTTCGTCCGTCTCATTAAGTTTGTCCCATACCATATTAATTAATATTTGAGTGGTTAGAATTCATTCATACTTTTTTTACACTTTATCAATTCAATATCAACCACACAATTTCAATTTTTCTTAAAAACAACACCACACCCCTTTGTC